TGTACCAACGGTTCTTGCATGAAGCCCAATCAACTTTAGATTAATTCATTAATCAATAACTTGCAACATTGTGTGAATGCAAAACCTGCAAAATACACATTATTTTTCCTTCATTCTAGCTTTAATGTTAACATTTAATGAAAGAATTACTGAAGAGTTTGTAAACATACCTGTGACCACTCTGAAGTGTCCCACATGTTGAGGCAGGACGGTGTCTCACAGTCCTGGACTTCAGCAGGTTTTCCTGCACCACAGAACTGCTCTTTGGTCTTCACAGCTGAGCCATTCTGCAGGGAGTAAATACAAAACACCTCCCTCTGCTGAAAACCTTTACCACATGAGACGGAGCAAGGTCCCACGTCACCTGTCACCCACCTGAGAAAAACATTTGCTTTTATAGTTGTTCATGTAAAAAATGAGGTTAAAAATTACAGATTTATTACAACTACAACTCTTAAAGCCAAAATATATCTCCAGTACTGCACAGATGTTTTATGATTTTATTCTTTCTGTTTTCCTCAAAACACTCAACATTATTCAGATCATTACTTCACAAGGTTGTTTATTTAAATGTTCTTTAAAAATACAAAAAGAAAAAAATCATTAGGAATTACTAAAAAGTGCAGACTCAGTGCTGTACAAAGTTTTTAAACCAGACTGAAAAACCTCAACAATATTGGGTCACTCTAAAAAGTCCATCAGTTGACTGTAAAATATTTTCAAGACCTTTTCAGATTAAAAGTTTACAGGGTCAAGACCAGGTTTTTAAGAAGTGGTTGAACTTCTGCTCTTTTAAACTATCCATGTACAGTAAGACAACACAAGTTAAGCTGCTGCTTAAAACTGTGAGAACAGATGGACTGAGAGAAGAAAAGACTCTTTACAAGGTCAAAGACCAACAGGGTCACTGGGAGAATCTGAAGGTTTCATGATCTGACCAACAGTTTTCTGTAGCGAGGATAGTTCTCAGTCTAAAGTGATCAAAGCTAGCAAAGATGGCTGCACAGAACATGAGGTGGGTGTAATAAAACCCCCGGCTGGAGAGCCTCGGAGCCTCATTCAGTTGTTTAATGTTGTAATAAAAAGGCAGATTACAGACATAAATAAAATAACACAAAAATAAAGTCATTTCAAACGGCAACTTTCTGGCTGTAAGAAACACTAAAATAAATTTTAAAAATGTG